TCAGGTGAAATTCAATGAGGGTCAACATGGGTTTTCTTAGATCTTGGCAAAATGGTAAGAAGTAAATTTAAACATGGCTCCATCCAGTCGTCCCCCATTAATCTTATCCAGGTCACTGAGTCAGAAGAAAGAACTAGCACAACTTTAAATTTGCAAACAACAAATGAAGGCTTGGAACTAAGAGATATTCCTTCAGGGGCCGTAGGTGGTGTGAGATGATAAGAATTTGGGAATGTTAAGTTAAAAAGGAACAACAGCCTAAGGAAAATCAAGGGAGAAAAGCAAAGGAGTCACAGTCAGTCTGCATGTGAGCTTTTGTTTTAAAGGAATAAACCAGACACTCTTTTAGGAGATTTGCTAGAGAAACTATTACCTGAAGAAACCAATCCACTCATTAAGGAGTCCAAGACTTACCTGCATCAGGACTTGTAAGATCATACCTACGGGAGCCTCGTAGTTGCCTTCATGGAGCTACAAAACAACTAACCAATGACAAGCTAGAGGCTTTATAAACTGTAAAATATTATAAAGACCCTCTTGCTATAATATGGGAAAAGTACTACAACTTTAAATTCCCACTTATTAAGCTCTTACGACAGGGCCTTCAATCTTCCACACCTTTCTATCAGGCACTGTGGTATGCATTTTAGGTATTTTAAAAATGTTTGCAGGATATCTGGCAGAAATATGAGAATGTATGCACAAAGAGAGGGGCTACATGATAAAAAGCATACCCGACTTCCTAAAAGGATTTAGAAATGAAATAACCCAATGTTACTCCTCCCACACCAACGAGACCAAGAATAAACTGATGGAAAAAGGTGCCTCAGAGCAGAGCTCTGACTTTTCCTCTGATGTGTATGTTTTCTTCTGGGTGCCCTCGAAAAATGGGAGAAGGAATTTGCAGAGAAAGCAATGAACTGTAGAACAGGGAAATAGCCAACAGCAACTTTTATAAAACTGTTCAACTACTGGCCATTAAAGAACAGCTCCTTAACTTCTCAAGTTGGAACCTGCAAAATGTAAATCAGGCCTTTGTGAGACAAACTAAAATAGTGTCCCCTCAGGGCGCACGAATACCACAGTGAAGTCACCAGCTTGAGCTACTCCCTGACATAGTCAGAGCCCATATTACAAAGTTTTTTTCCCAGGAGAAAAGGAAACTTTGCTGTTTGTTTCATGTTAAACATTAATACATACTCATCGGAGGGCCAAGTCACCTTATGTGTTGATTCTGATTTATACACACAAGACACTGCATACAGACTGAAGCTTGTCCTAAAAAAGCTTATGAAGTGCTTGGGAACTGGGTTGCAATGCTAACTTTGGAAGTTCCATAAACTTTGACTGGCTTGCTTATATAAACAGTTTCTTAACCTAATTGTTTTAAGAATGAGAAAAGGCTACCTTTTTTGCAAGATCAAAATCCCGTCTGCCAAGTTTCCATTCACAATAATTAGCGCATTAACTAAAGGGGCTACTTAAGAAAAATCAATCCTCAGCTACAGTACTACTCTCAGTAAGTCCCTAGACATTGCTAAAACTCACTTTTAACATAATCATCAGATGTAAATGCTACACTTTTAAGCAGCAACTAAATAATCTATATACATTATTTAAAAAGATATGAAAGCTGAACGCAAAATAGAACTTTTGGGAACGGGTGCCTGAGACGTCTCTTCACAATGGGCAAAAAATACAGTTAGAGTTCCCAAAGCAACTTTAACTCTTCATGTCCAAAGATGCGCTGTGCCGTGAACCCTACTATGATACAGTATATGGAAGTTAAGTAATGGCCACTGTCTGAATCCACGCTGGTTTTCCTCCATTTTTTACATCAAGTGATGGTACTGGCCATAAGGATCTAATTTATACCTGTCGAATGTTAAAAATACGATTTGGCCTCCCAAAAAAGGTACCAGTGAAAATAATCATTCAATCTAGTATATGAACATTTCTGAAGGGTACATAAACACCTGTCATTGGTGGTCTCCCAGCTGTGCACCTTAGCAACTAAAGACAAACTGACCTGTTGCTATATGCATTATTTGAATATCTCTTCTTGTCTCATTGTCATAATAAAAAGGTGACTCATGACCATCACCAAAACATGTACATTGCCTGTAACTACTTGCATGTGCTCTGACTTCACAATTTTTTTTCTCTAAATTTTGAGATGGGGGTCTCATTATGTAGCTCTGGCTGGTTTGGAACTTGCTATGTATACAAGATGGCCTTGACCTCACAAAAATCTGCCTATGTTCAGCCTCCCAGAGTGTTCCAAAATACCTAACCCTAGACTTGATTCATTTTTAAGTCTTGCAGTGAGTAAAGTTGAACATGAAATTGAAGGCTAGCGAAGTAGTGGCTGGCCTATTCTTTCATACTGCTCACTGGAGTTTCACATGCTCTGGAGGGGCAAGGCACAGTATGCACCACTTGTTTAAGGGTATGTGAAATTTGAACTGGATGGGAGATTTAATGGATGCACAAAACAGTCATGGTACTTGACTCCATGGGAAATAATTAGTTAGCTACAGCCCACAGAGTAACTGGAGTCAAGGAGTGAATCAAAACACTCTGATAGGTCAGTCCTTGCCTACTTGCCCTAAATTATTGAGCACAGCATTCATGCATGCATACATACCCAGTCATTAAAAAAAAAAAAAAAAGAGGGGCGAAGGGACAGAAGCCAGAAACATCAACGCATGACAAAAGCTCTTCCCTCCCCATCTACTCCATCGCACACATTTCCTGCAAGACATCATGCCCAACCAAAGAACAAGTACTGTAAGTCCACTGGAGATTTCATAAACTAGCCAACTAAAAGCACATGTGTTCACAATAATTATACTGCAATGAGAATACTGCAAATCTTTTTCTTAAGAGTAACCTGCTGGATGAGGCTGCACTCAGGAGGCAAGCAAGTCTCTGAGAGTTCAAGGTCAGCCTGATCTACAGAGTGAGTTCCAGGACAGCCAGAATGAGACCCTGTCTTATGTCAATCACCAACCAAGAGAAGACTTTTTCAGTAAAATCAAGTCCAAGCATATAGAAAATGTCATGCTGCAATCCTAATGAGGTGAAAACACCCTTTGACCTTGTTACTAACATGGCCCAAAGTAAACATATCTGGCTCCCAACAGCAGCAGCCTAACCAGATTGCTACCTCTCCTACCTTAGCACACTGTCTCTGCATCAGAGAACCCTCTACAATCACCTGAAACCAACCTCTGCTCCTTTTGTCTAGAAGAGGAGGAAAGCCAAGATTGACAGCCTATTGTTCAGAACTTTTCAACTGCATCTCAGGCACTCAGGAGCTGTCAAGGCCTTTTTTTTTTGTTGTTGTTGTTGTTTTGTTTTGTTTTGTTTTAATCTGAAAATGAATTAAGCAAGGCTTCAAGGGGATTCAGAATTGAACAGGAAAAAAAAATGAGTAAAAGGTTAAAATAACTGGGCATAAATTGCAAAACTCATTTTGGACAACTTAAAAATTTTCAAGACCCTTAAAAATTTCCAGGAGACCTTGGGAAGCCCTGAGTGTCTCCCTCCCACTGTCTTCAGAAAGGCACCTGTCCCAAGACATGACTTCTACACTTCTATAGAGTGCCCATGCCTTTTGAAAATCAAACTCATCCATTTCTTTAGTTACTGAAGAGCAGAGGCCTCACAGTTTCATTTTATGGACTTGTTTTCAAAATGTTCCATCTGCCTGGTGACTCACCCACAAATAAAAAGGTGTTTACTACAAAGACACTGAATAGTGCTTTTCTAAAACTTATTACACATGGGATAATTTACACTTTTCAGGGCACTTTCTCTAAGTCATATTCCTGCTTTGAAATCCTGATGTTTGCATGCTAGAAAGCAATGGAAAGAAAACTTCGAAACCATGACCTAAGAATCACTTGCCTATATAAAGTCCCTTGCAAATATCCCAGACGTTATTAGCTCTATAGAACTGCCATGCTTTGGGCAGGTTTGGGGCAACCTGTACTCTTTGGAAGTTCGTTAGTACCAGCTACTGGTAAAATCAGGTGCTACAATGCAATGGGGATGGGAGCTCTACACATCCAGTCAGATTCTCACACTTACATTGCACTCTTGAACACAGCAAACTTTTCTGTTTGCTTGTATGTCTCAAAAACGAAGAAAAACTTTCCTAGATCAACCAGGAATTTTGATCCATTCAGAGAATCACAGCCTTTCCCACCCATGGTTCTGCCATGAAGTCTCCTACTATAAACCCCCTTCCTGAATTCTGAAATGATGCACGTTTCCACACTTGCTTGGATCAAAGCAAAAGGGAAGAAAGCTAGGAGAGCCTTTGAGTCTTTTACACCGGAACAAAACTGCCCGGCAATTACAGTGAGTGTCTTCATTACCTTTTTGTTTTCTCTCTACCAGGATTAGCAGTGAAATAGCTCTTAATTAAGTCTGAACAGCTCTAAAGAACAGTAACTTTAAAAGTGAACTTCTACTTTAATTACACATAGGCGATACCAGCAGTAAAGGCGTTTGCTCCCCTCAAATTCCCTTATCAGAGCTAAGAGCAATCATTCTCAACCCCGGAGAGAGACAACTAAACATTTTAAAGACAAGTGTTTAAAGTAGACCTTCAAGGCTAAAGCAAGCATGCGATGTGATAGTCCTGCCAGCATGGGTGTTTCATTAGCGCTTCAGGGGGAAAAGGCGAGTGGGGGTGTTGGTCCAAAACCCTGACTGCTGAAATAGAAAATGATCAACAGAGTAAGAATCCGGTTGGGTTAGAAAGTGTGAGAGATGCTAGCGTGGGACATGGTGGCCCTCACCGGATGTTCAAAGCGAGATGAATTTTAGAAGTTGGAGAAAGGAATTTCTGTGTGTGGCCCACGCTGGAGAGCAGACCGTCCGCACGCGGCTGGACTGGCCCCTCCGGCCGGACCAGCGGCTCCATGGAGGCAGCCCCGGAGCTGGGCCCTGAGCGAGAAGTAGTGGGGAACAGGGCTGTCACCGCTTACCCAGGTGCAGCGTGAGGTTGATGGAGTTGGGGTACTGCACCCCGGCCAGCATGGTCTGGCTTTGCCACCAGGTGGTGTCGGCCTGGTTGTTGTAGTCGGTCAGGAAGGCTGCCCCGTGCTGCAGGTGGAGCTGGCCGGCGTCGCACAGGTGACAGGACTTGGTGACTCCGGTCACCCCAGTCTGCACGCAGTACTCCTCGGGCGGAGTCCCACACGTGTTGGTAGCCACCACGGTCACATTGAAGGCGGCATTAACAAACTCCGGCATGCAGCGCTGCGGGCGGCCGCTCTCATCCGCGCACTCGTCCATGGCCGCCCGGACACAGCCCGCCGCAGCCGCCAGCACGGCCAGCAGCGGCCACAGCCGCCCCCGGGGCCGCAGGGCCAGCTCGGCCCGCCCGCCGCCCGTCATCCCACCACGCTCCGGCCCTCGGCGAAGGCTGGGGTGCCGCGCTGCTCTCGCCTAGCGGCGTGCCCCGAGGCTGCTCCTCCGCTGCGGGTCGAGGCCGGGCTGTGGATCGGGCTGGTGGCCGAGAACCGGGTGCGGAGCCGATGGGTGGGCGTCCTAGGCGAAGACCGCGCCGCCTCCGCTGCCTCTCGGTGTGAAGCTCGCACTGTGCGCCGACCCCCGACTTCCGAGCGCGCACCCGAGAGCGCGCCCCAGGAGGAAGGAGCAGGGGGTGGGGTCTGCCGGGCGGGGTGGGATCTGGCGGAGGAGAAAACCCAAGACCGGCCTCCTCAGCAGCTCATGAAGGCGGGGAGCGGCTCCCCGCCCTACGCGTCCTCCCCAGCGACTCCCGGCGGCGGCAGGGGCAACCACTGGCGCTCTGGCCTGGAGGGCGGTGGGCCCGAGAAGGGAGGTGGGCGGGGCCGAGATGGGCGGGGCGAGGGAGTAAGAGGGAAGGGCGTGAGGTGGGCGGGACCAGGAGCAAAAGGGAGGGGGCGCGAGATGGAAGAGAAGCCGGTCGGGGGAGGGCAAGAAGGAGGGCTCCTGGATAGGCGTGACTAGAGGTGGGCTGGGCGAGGGTATAAGAGGGAGAGGCCCAAGGTGGGCGGGGAGGGAGCGTGAGTGAAGGGAGGAGGGCGGGGCGCGGGGGTGGAGGGCGCGGGGCGTTGCATGCTGGGAGGGCAGGGGCCTCAGTGGAGATCCCGCACCTTTCGGGAATCCTAGCCCTGATTCTTGGTCCTAAGCGGATCTTGTCTTGGAGGGTATCCGGGACTAGGAGGAGATTCTTAAAGAGCGACGCGGGCTCGGGAGGTGGCTCGGAATGTGTCTTTTGACTCACGATGACTTGGACCGTGGCCCAACTAGGTGTCAGTCCTTACTGTATAGTTCAGCCACTACTGGGCGCTGGGACCCAAACGACCTCGCCATGGTACCGAGGCCTGCGTGACCTCGGCCTCCGCAGACGTTCCGGAGATGCCTCTTGTTAGCGCAGGACAAGCGCCTAACCCGGCTGAGGAGATCCCGCGGTGTACAAGGGGCTGAATCCAATCTCAGCTTCGTTGTCAGCTTTGTGATTTCCTGGTTCTAAATTAAAGTGTAACTGTCATTTACCAGGGCAAGGAAGGAAGTGAGAAGGCTGGGAATGGAATGACATTTTCCCTCTGGATATGCAGACTCGCTTTGAAATTCTTCCACTGTGTTGTTTGTGTTTCCCAGCTTGCCTTTAAAAGACTTGAAGTTATCTGGATCCTGGCATCTTCCTTTGCGGACCTGCTGAGTCACGGAATATTGTCAGTGCCAGAGTGACTCAGTTCGCAGAGCACGAGCCAAAAGATCAAGAGTTTTAGTCCCAGATCAGAACTACCTACAGTGCTGATAGAACAAGCAGACAGAGGGAGGGAGGTTGCTGTACAAACCATCCAGTTGAGAGCCGGGCGTGGCAGTACACCGCTGTAATCCCAACCCAAGATGCAAAGCAGACCCACGAAGTGACTGCTCCAGACGCATTTTTAAAAACTTTCAGACTTAATAATAGAGTGATAACAATAAATATGATTTTGGCTTCAGTAGTCTTTTTAAGATTAGGGATATTAGAGCCAGGTGTTGTTAGCACATGCCTTTAATCCCAGCACTCGGGAGACAGAGGCAGGCAGATCTCTGTGAGTTCGAGGCCAGCCTGGTGTACAGAGAGTATTCCAGGACAGGCTCCAAAGCAATACAGAGAAACCGTGTCTTGAAAAACCACAAAAAAGAAAAATGAAAAAAAAAAAAGATTAGGGATAATGATATCTACAAAATAGCTCAGCGGGTAAGGCACCTGTTCCTAAGCTTGATGACCTGAGTTCAGTCCCCAGGGACCACATACATACTTCCATAACCACACCATGGCACTTGTGTGCCCACTTATATAGACACACACACACAAAAAAAAAAAACCTAAATAAATAAATGTAATTTTTTTAAAAAGTAGGGGTAGTAGACATATGAAACAATGAAGTTAAGTAAATGATAGGTAATGGTTAGGGTCAGTGTTAGGGGCCATCAGTCCTAATTAAGGATAGTCCTTAAGAATAATGGTCTACCGTGTAGGGCAGGGGTTACTGTCCAGGGAACCTGTAATACTGAACCAACCTGGGAATGCACCCACCTTCTTTATTTGATGAGATAGTGGAGATTATGTGTGCTGACGGTCTCTGACACTTTACCCCCATAACTCTTTGTGGAAAGAAAACTGGGAGCTACTATAACATTTTAGATGGCTGTAGCAAAATCAGTCCATCCCTGGAGGAGATAATGTCTCAGTTCATTAAACATGCCAAGTAAATTGGTGTGTGTCCTTTTCATTGCTCTCAAGCTGTTACTTGTGATAATTTACTCTGTAATTTCGTCACAAGAACCTTATCTCTTATTTGTACAGTATATGAAGAAACCTTGAGTTAATCTCTTTATTGCTCACTGGAATATGTTAAAGTAACAAAGTATGGGTTTTTTTTTTTTTTTTGCTTTGTTTGTTTTTTTTTTTAAGAAATAAATTGTATACAACCAATGTGCTTGATGATGCAACTTGTTTCATTGTTTGGATTTGGGGAGTGTGGTGGGGGTATGGAGAGGGGATGAGACAGGGTCCCACTAGATAGTCCAGGCAGGCCTGGCTCCCACATCCATTTTCCTGCCTCAGCCTCCCCAGTGCTGAGATTGCAGGCATAAGCCACCATGCCAGTAATCATTTTGTGAGTATTGATTCAAATAAACCAAAGACTTTGTAATACAATTCTGAAGAGAAATCTGGACACTGGATGATAATGTATTTGAAGTACCTGGAGGCACCACAGTTATCAATAGACTTGCTATTTAACAAGAAAATAAAGTTGATGACACCTCACTGGAGTGATTTCCTAACATCCACTATAGGCTAAGACAAGAGGATCTCTGGTCCAGGCTAGTGGAAACCTATCTCTCTCACCTGATCCAACTCAAAAAAGCATATAATATTTACTGGAAATTACACCGTTTTGTTATTTCTTTCCCCCTCCTCCTCCTCTTCTTCCTTTTCCTCCTCCTTCTTCTGTTTGTTTTGGATTTTGCTTTAAAAAAAATCCAGAGCCTTAACCTTTTAAACACACATTCTTAACTATTTTGAAACTTTATTATAAACTAAACAAACATGGTATTTATGAGGAAAAATATGAAGGAAAATTGAGTTCAGGTTTGTGAAATTCAGATTCTCTTAATGCCTGGTCAGCAGTAATTCCATGCAACAAGGCAGATGAAATCAGAGCTCATGGCTATACAAGCTAGATACCGTCCAAAGAGCCTCTATCTCCCAGTTAAACCTCTGAAGCACAGGAGACTTGTCCTTTCAGTATATATCTGAATAGCCGCATGGGAGGATGCTCAATGGCTAGGCCACCTGCGAATCTGTAGGCATGCCCACCCCTACCAAACTGAACAACAGTAAGCCCACTGGGACAAAGCCACTTGGGAAAGGTTTTTTTTTGCCAGTAGTGAGTAGGTTAAAAGACAGGGGGGAAATCAACAGATGTCCACTACCTAAGGGTCTAGTGTGCATGTTATATAATTAGAAACTTAAAGTGTGTGTTGCCTTTCAAGATTTTATCTTTGTTAGGTTTTTAACCCTTTATAATTACCAATGAGTTTACTTTTTCATTTTTTAGTCTTTCTGACCTCATCACCAAGTCTATTGTCTCCACATGTGAGGACATTGTACTGTCTGCCTTGTCCTTTATGTTTAGAAATGTTACCATCAGCAAAACTAGTATTAATAATATGATGGTGTTAGCCTGTATTTGCATATTATTTTCATTTTTCAGATTTTTCTCTGGAGCACGGGATGTCATTGCCTCTGTAGTACTGAAGAAATTAAGCCACAAGGTTAAGTAACCTCTGACCCCAAGTAAGAAGTAAAACAGGACAAAGGCTGCCCATCTGAAATTCTGCACAGAGGTCTCCTGCTGTGTAAAGGTCAGAAGAGGAACAAGGGTAGATGGAGCACTGATTTCCACAGCCATGGTTTCTCAGATTATCAAATAGGAGTTTAAGTTGAGTAGAAATTAAAGTGATACTGAAAAAGGACTAGAATTTCTCTTCAAAGTTACAGTGTTTTGGGTATCCTGTCTCTGTCCTTCCTACAAATCCCAGCATAACAAGATACGAGGTCTTGTATGGTTCAGGTAAAGAAAGACAAGATTCCTCTTGTATAGGTAGACTTAGTCATTTAGTTTTCTTAGTCATACAGGTTTTTTTGTCATTTCAAATCACAAGCCATTAGCTTTTTCTTTAATACGTCACCATTTCTTTTTTTTTTTAATTTTCAATTTTAAGCCCATTCTAAGTTCTACATATGAAATGTTAGATAATTAATTAAGTCATTTAGTCCTTAACACAGGTACTTAACAATAAGAACTTCTAGCAGGACATGGCACACACCTTTAATTCCAGCGCTCAGGAGGCAGAGACAGGTGGGTCTCTGTGAATTCAAAACGAGACTGTTTGGTCTACAAAGCAAGTTCCAGGACAGCTAGGGCTGTCTCAAGAAACAAAAAGAAAAGAAAAAAGAAAAAGAAAAAGAAAGGAAGGAAGGAAGAAAAAAGAAAGAAAGAGAAAAAAAGAAAAAAGAATAAGAACGTGTAAGTACTCCATCAGTCATGTGTCATACATGCTGATGTGCCTATGCCTGGTTCTTGTCATTGGTAGTTTTAATGAGTTGAAAATATTTTCTGATTTCTATTACAATTCTTCTTTGATCCAGAGAACATTCACAAGCTTGTTGCTCAATTTCTCAACAATTGGAGATTTCCTAGTTTTCTTTACTATACAATTAGCCGTAGTATTATTATTGAGAAATGGATAAGTAACACTGTTGTGAAATATTTAACTATGTAAAGATGTGTTACATTTGTTTATGCTGTTGAATATTACTTTAACAGTGTAACGGTATGTTACATTTGTTTCTGCTACTTTGGTTAACAATATAAAGATGTGTTACATTTGTTTATGCTGCATTTGTTTTAATCATACAAAGATGTATGGCATTTGTTTCACCTTGCCTGCCTAAGGCACCTGACTGGTCTAATAAAAAGCTGAACGCCAATAGATAGGCAGTAGAGATATAGGCGGGGCTAGTGGGCAGAAAGAATAAATAGAGGAAAGACAGAGGAGAAAGAGAGGAACATACCCCAGGACTGGCCAGGCAACCGTCAGTCAGTCAAACATGAGAAGCAGATACAAAGATGGAAAGGAAGGTTATTATTTATGATTTATTAAAGCTTGCCGGAGGGGCTGGAAAGATGGCTCAGCAGTTAAGAGCATTGACTGTTCTTCCAGAGGACCTGAGTTCAAT